AAAGGTGCCAAATTAGTCTGTTTTTCAAACTAATGAGTTCAGACAGGTTTGCTGGGTTTTCCTACTTTGGCACCTACTTATAAGGCAGTCTTCTGGATAGCTCACTTCTCATAATCAAGTAATACAAGTGAAAAGTGGTTACTTAGAAGTGTTTCATTTGTATGTCTAAACCTCTGAAAATTTTACACACAGACCATAGCAGAAATAACACATCAGAAGTTTTTGTAAGGTGACTTCTAGCAGATCCTTCAAGAACAGTCCATGAGCATCCAAACAGGTCCCATAATACATTAATGTGGGTGGGAGGGAAGGATATTAGCCCAAGTTACTGATGTGATAAACTCCTACCATTGAGGAGACAGATGTATCATGCCATACTAATCATTCAGTGTGATATTGCAGGCTCAGAGGACTGGGAAATCACCCCAAAAATAGAGTTAGCATTGGGCTTTCAAAGAGCAAGTGAAAGAACAGAGAATGCCTTGCTTTGAAATGTCTGCCTTACAACATTTGATTAGGAAGGAGAGCTGCCTTTAATGTACAACTTTATCTTTGCACTGAAGTTTCATTATATCAATTAAACTAAACATTAAACATTTCAAAAAAATTAAAACTAAAAATTAGATTAAATCATGTGCTTACTTAATCTGCTTTTCTCTCCTTTGGAATGTTCACATATACAACACAGTAGCAAAGGAAGAAACAGCCTTTATGGCAATTATAGACCATCCTTGCTTTTCAACTCTGAGAATATTAACAGTGTATTATATGGCAGCTGCTATGACATGAAAAAGTGCTCAGTAGTCCTCTGAGGCAAAGATTGTGGTAGACAAGAGAAGGGCCAGAAACAGAAATTTAGATGTTCAAGTTACTTGAGCAGAGAACCATCTAGTGCTGGCACACCATGAAATACAACAGGGAAAAGTCCCATCCAGGCTTCCTGATGAGACAAGTGTGCGAAGGGACACAGCCTGGGTGCAGTCTGCATTTCGTGCCACGCTGTGACTCCATGTTGGCTTCACAAGTATTTGAAAAACTCAACCCCAGGCCCACTTGAGATAATCTCCACAGATACAATGAGGCTGAATAGCAAACAAGCTTTACCACACCCTCATCCTCCTCCGGAACCGGTCACCTTTCCCTGAAGACACCAAGCCAACCAGTAATGGATCCGTATTTTGGGCACCGTCTCAAATGCCCGAGATGGTGACGATGTTACGCTATGTAATGGTGCCATCTCGTGGTAATAATTAAGAAGACGCTGGATCGAGCACATTTTCAGCAGTACACTGCAGCCATCGTGGCCATTAAAGATGGCACATGAAAACACACACCATACCTCCGAATTCCTCCGTGTCATTTAAGTTTTACAGTGCATGCTCACCCTCAAGACACCCACAAGCACAAAAGCATCCTGTGATGATTTACAACCACAGGTCATAGCAGCAGAAAATGCTAACCCACAATGGTCAGCGTGATTGTAGCTGGAATTGGGTCGGTGATGATGTTCAGGCTTCTAAGAAGAATCTGAAAAACTGAAAATCTCGCTGAAAGGACAAGAAAAACGAATCAAGGCCAGAAAAATCTGCCTCACAGAGAGAGATCCAAACCCAGTGCTGTTCACTGATGCCATGATGGGACCACAAGGTATCCATCTGCACACTGTAAGAACCTTGATAGTACCAGAGTCGTAGCTCGGCACTAAAGAGAAAAGCAAAATCCATCATATGAGACTAAACCAAAATTAATTCAGACTAAAAATATCGTGTTCACTTGTAAACACAAAACTTTAGAACAACTTGCCAAGGAGTGTGGCAGATTTCCCACCGCCCAATATCTGAAAATCAAAACTGTCAAATCAAAACAATCTTTCTAAAAAATGGGTTGTTTCAACCAAAACCAATGATTTTTGATACAGCGTGAACCATGCATGAAATTGTCTGGCTTGCATTATGTGAAACATCGTGACAGATTAACGTAATGAAATTTCTAGCCTTAAAATCCATATGTTGACTTTTCTTGAGAGCGATTCAAACACGTTATTTAGTTGGCACACGCCCACCCGGATCACTGCTAACAGTAATGCTGGTGTCTAACATCTTACTTGCAGGCCAGACTTGCGTCTATGCTTGTAAGAACAATAGGTACAGATTTCCTTTCAGCAGCTCTGCCATCTCTCTCATGCGCACGCACACACACACACACACACACTCTCTTACCTCCTTGTCTCCTAAGCAGAAATACCATCACGTCAAGCCACAACCACCAGTGTAGATTCAGAAAGAGATTAAATCCAGCGTTTTTAAAACTTAACTCCAAAAACTGGAATGCTCTTTGAAGCCTTTGCCAACTTTTCCAGCACTCCGAAGCCATCCTACCCTTGAGGAAATGCCGATTTCTTTTCAATAAAAGAATTTCCACTGTGAGAAGAAGATGTGCTGCTGGGTTGAGGGTTTTTTTCTATTATGCTCTATTAAGACAGTGAAGATATTGGATCTGTTTCTTAGGATTCTTGTGATTTCACTATGAAGTGCTTCAGACTGCCAAGAATGGGTCGCAGGTCCAAGCTTCTAAATTAATCAAATACCTTAAAGCACTAATACAACAACAAAAGAAAATCAATATTCAGACTAATTGTTCTGTAAGTCAGCATTTCTGAAATAATATGGAGCAAGTCTGTGTCTTCCTGCAACCTCTAGCCCAGAAATTTAGTGCAGTGAAGGAGGACCCCTTTACTGGATATAGAATGGACAAATGTCTGTATCCTCTTCCTCTGCTTCTGCTCTGTTTCATTTGCCAGGCAGGACAGATGAACTGAATGTAGAACATCCCTAACTGTCACAAGTTTTGATTAGAAGGATGATGTGATCACTTTCTTTGATTAGCAAGTACCGAGCCATCTGCCAACACCATCTCATCAAATGCACCTTTGCTTGCTTCTATAAAATGCCCAGTTGCCATCTTGAGCATTTTTGATGAAAAAGCATTACTTAGAAAACAAAAAGCCAACCATAATCAAGGAAAACAAGTCATATGCAGAGGAAAGAAGCAACTTTTCTGTAAGAACAGCGAGTAAAGTGGTTGTTAATGGAGCCAGTGGATCAGTGGATAACAGAAAAGTGAAATAGATATTCGGATTTCTTCCTCTGACATGAAGTGTCCCTAGATATATTAATTTAATCAAATTAGGTGTCTGACCGTTCCACACACAGTACCTTATCCATCTTCCTTATTCTAATATGAATTCATGTAGAGTTTCCTGGGGCCTTAGGTAAAACTTTGTTGAAAGACTTAAATCAGATTGAACTCCTCAATAGTGCCCACTTGCTGGGACAACTCCAGTTCACCTAACCTTGACAATAATATAGGCAGTAATGTGCAAACTAGACACAAGGTTGGCTTGTGAAACTACTGCAACTCCAGAATCAGCTTTCCTGAGGGAAGAGAGTGCCATTTTCTATCCTAGTTAGGAGAAACTGGCATTGCAACTCTTCACAAATATTGTATTCTTTTTTAAAAAGAGGTATGTATTTAACCACACAATAAGTAAGAGTGTAGGCTGCTGCACAGGAGGACACAGTTTCTAGCAGTCTTTATAGCACGCCCTTTGCGACTTGATGAATCAACCTGAAGATCAACTGATTATAAAGTTAGTCCTAAATGCATTCTCTTTGAGACAAGAGAACCATAGCAACATGATTAAGGCTGGCACACAATTCAGTGTTTTAATTCTCTTGGCAAAAACTTGTGAGTTCCAATTATAGCATTTCTTCTTTTTCTTTTCTTAAGAGATGCCTAGAAAGGTCTGATTTCGATGTGTCTCAGGCATATGGTTTACTGAGCAGCTGAACAGAGGAGGAGTTACTTGGATATGTGAATAAACACTATGTTAACTCATGACCTTAAACAAAAACATGGTGGCAGGGCTAAGTATGAGCAATTATGCTGTAAAGGAGGAAAATATACATCCCTACAGTGTACCTACAATGCCTGCCTACAGAACTGTCTCCCTGGAAATGCTGGAGTAGTTTGTGGAAAGAAACAGCTATGTCTTCTTGTTCCAAGGCACCCGCTCAAGAATTACAGGCTGCTTGATCTATTCAGGTTCATTAAGACCCTACTGCTGTTCACCACTGAGCCTACCTCTTTGCAAAGCCTTCTCTGCCACCGGACTAAAGATTTGATCCTTAAGAGTTTCATTTGTAATCATTAATACAACATTCAAGCTTTAGGAATTCCTCACTTTAAAAAGTTCAAACACAGAACCAGCTTGTGGTGAAAGAACAAAATTTCTTTACCAAGCCATAACATGAGCAATCTAGTGAAATATGTTATACTTCCAAGTTAATTAAATGCAAAACATTAGGAAAGAGCCCATAGTAAATAAAACATGCAATATGTAATCTACGCAAAGTTCTACACCCTGAACTTACACATACCATGATCACAGTGCCTGAATTTAAAGCCAGTTTAAGGCCTGTAGCTTGAGCACTCTTCTTCTCTGCATCAAACACTTTCTGCATTAATGTGGTTTGTACGCCATCCTGTCCACCACAGGGTTTAAGGCAGATTTTTCTGCTAGAAAAGCTCAAAAGAAAGCAATTCAAGATCAATTGTTCTCTTTGAAACGAAGGTTACAGCTGTCATTCTGATGCCAACGTGTGTTGCGGTGCCTCTCTTCCATAATGCAGGATGTGGTTTCCATAGAAATATCTTCTTACGTCGGTATCTACAAGCCTTCCAATTATTCCCTTTTGGACATCTCATGCAATCCAATAAAATCTTTCCAGAGCAGGGAGATAACTAGACTCAACTACTACTTAATTACTTGGTGAGGAGAAAAAGACAAGGACAATTAGCAAACAAAAGCTTTATTTAAAACAAAACACAAGATAGAGAACATGTGTCTTGCAAAAAAATTTATATCTTACCTGAAGAAATCTCTCCAGAGTTACAAATTACGAACAGGTAATTACAATTTTTAATTTTTGAAAGTGCAATTATAGTATAATTCTGAATTGTTTGATGGCCTTGTTTCCAACTAAGCCCTGAGGGCCTGCAGTTTTCCTGAATCCTTGGCATTGCTGAGTATTGCCTGCACCTTGTTCTAAGTCCTCTTCTTCAGGACCCCGAGTTTAGAGCCCCTGCTGCTGCTGTGTCATCTTTTTTTCTCTGTGGTAGCTCCTGCCACTCTCCCAACACCAGGAATGTATCCCAACACCCTGAAATCAGAACGAAGACAGAGGGAACACCAAATTACACACAAACAACATGAACAGTGACTCGATCCTAATCTAAAATGCCACCATAAACACGCAAGGCAAGAAACTTGGCTGCACTGTTTGTATAGAACAGCTTCATTCTGGTGCTCTGCCCGAGTCCCCTGAAGTGTCAGCACAAAGAAAACTGGGAGTACGTGGAGCCTTGATCCGGCTGGGTGGGCTCTGAAGCCATGACCACAGCACTAAACGCAAGAGCGTGCACCGCAGGGGCCAGGGCTGTCACAACTCCTCCAGGAGACCCAGGCTGAAGAAAACAAACTGATTTAATTGTTGTGTGGCAACCAAAATGTGCTGGGGAAACAACCCCTACAGCTCTTTGTTTTGCTTCCACTCATCTCTCCATTTTCTTTATTACTTGAAAAAGCTTCGTTGCTGTGATTTGTTTTCTCAGATACATGTTCCCCTAACTAGGTTTAGGCTTCATTCAAATCATTCTCAAACTACTACAGCTATATGAAGCAATTATATGTGTGTCTGTATATGTTATATAGCTATAATTAGCTATATAAACCTATGGGTCAGCAGTAAAGAAACACCTATAGTTGTCTGTGATGGTGTCTCATATTTAAACCTCACTACTTCACTAAAAAGGGAAAAGTCTACCAATGAAAAATGAAGTTATAAAATAGCGAATCAGTCACTGTACCTTATTCATCTGGCCCACATCTGATTGCCTGGGTTTCAGCCTCTGGAAAAATGGGGTGAACAGTTTTGCCCCAGAAAGAGATTAAAAAGGAAAAATACGTTAGCAGATCTCCATGGCAGTTTTTGTTTAAAAAATACACCAGGAAAAGCCTCCTGAATGCTACACTCAATGCCTTTTACCTTGCTTTTGTTAATTAACCAAACCAGGGTGCCCAGTGACACTACCACAAAAGACTAAGGTGAAGAACTGTATCAGAAATAACATGACCCCTATCCCTTCCCCCCTTTCAGAAAATGCAGATACTTTGATCAATTCAGATAAAGGATTATAAGCAAACATACAAAATGGATTTTAATTCTTGCTCAGTCTGCTTACTTTTCACATTATCTTTGCATTTACATGCTTTATGTATCGTACTGAACTACTTCAAAACAGCTCAGTTCACTGCCTGGTAGGTTTAACACTCGGAGCAAATCATGTTAAATGATTTCTGTTCCTCCCATCAGCCCCAGAAGAGAAATCTCACTGTGTTCCTGTTACTGAGACTATTTGCTGCAAATAAATTTCTCCATTTCTCAAACAATAAGAATTAATTCAGAATGAATGGTTGCAGCTCTGCATGACAACATGCTAAAGAGCTTTATTTTTATAGATACATGTATACATGGAGACAGAAATATATGTGCGTATATAGATGTCTATGGATCTGTGCACATCCGAACTGCAGTACCAGCTGCAGTAGACAGAGCGCTGCAGTTCAGCTGCACTGCCACTAGATGAAGCCACATAACCTTGTAAAATTTAAAACTCTGACCCCAGGGCCATAGAAACATTTTTTGGAGTATCTACGACTGCAGAATTCTTACAACAACATTAATAGTGTTCAATCCTGAGCACTGCAGGAAAAACTGTAACATGAGCAGGTTAAATGTTCAGGTTTTCTTCTCAATAATTTTGTTCCAAAACACAGTATTGCAAATGTCGATGGGGATCTAAGAAATCAGAGCAGAATAAGACTTGTCTGTTTTCATGGGTGTTGCCATAGATCCAGATTGGAGCTGACAATATTGAATTACATTGTGTTTTGCTTTCTACATTACAGAGCAAGTAGGAATGAAGCACTATGTTCCCAAGTGATCCCCTAAAGATCTAAATGACCATGCACGTATGGAAGAGGTAAATGTACAACTCCAGTGCTTTCCATCCCAAAGCCACATCTTTTTCCTCTCCATGTCCCTGCACCACAGCTCAGGAAACGCAAACTTCTCTTTATGTGCAAGTACCACACTAGGCCAGATGATAAAGGATTCCTGCACTCAGGAAATGTTTCTGCTTTATCTCCTGCTAACAGACAGCGTGAAGTCTTGGAAAATTCTCATTATTTCCTCACCAGCTATCAGAGAGGTATGCAGGAGTAATGCTGCCTTTAGGACAACACAAAACCAGGGAAACTCTCCTCTAGTTTTGGCAGGCATCATCTGTCAGGTGCTCTCCCTTGGTATTTCCCTGGGTGCATAATATTCACAGTACTGGGATAATACAAGCAGAAGAAGCACACAAGTAGGTTCCATAAGTAAAACAGATATAATAAATGTGTGCACACTGTTTTAAATACTGGTTTTATAGTGGGTTGATTTCCCACTGAAGATGGATGAAATAAAACCTGTTCAGCACATTCAGTGTAAAGGAAAGTGATGTGCACCAGTGGAGGATACAATTTAAAAAGCAGATTTTTATTATATATTTTAGTGCCAAGTTCACTTGCTTCTGCTCCCTTCCACTGCAAAGATCACATTGCAATTCACAATTCATATAAATATCTATAAACACACCCTCTCCTATTTCTGGTTTGTACTTTCCCTCCTTCTTCCTTTTGTAGATATGAGATACCTCATTTACGTGCAGAACTGCCCAAGGCACTTCCCAGGCCTCACGTGTATTTTTTACTGACAGCAACTCTGGTAGAATTATATTTACCCATGTTTTGGATCATTTCTCTTTGTTTGTTTTTTCGGTAGAAGATGACAAAAAGAAGAAAGAATAAAGCAAGCATCCTCTCCTCCAGGATCCGCTTTCTGTTTGCCGATCTGATCATAGCTCTCTTCCATTAATAAACTGAACTGAGCAAGACGGATTAAAGGACAGAGCAACACCAGGTTTTGTTGATTTAACACATGAGCAACAGAAATATAATGGCTCCAGAGGAACCCAGCCTAGGGCTAAATTCTGACTTAACTCTCCTGTGGGTGCTGCAGAGAAGATGAAACACAATGTCTCAGCTGAAGGTCCCCAAGCCAGTACGAGGCAGGACAGATGTGGGAAGGCAGGGGAGCAATTTGCCCTGCAACACTCCTCACTGCGCTTCCAGAAAGAGACAATTTGTGCTCTTCATTATGAACCTAATGCTTATCCCAGCTTGTGTGCAGGCAGCAGAGGGGCCTGTCTGGATCCCCAAGCCAGCTCAACAGATCACATCAACAAGATCCCCCATATGAACTGTCAAAAGGTTTTCCTGCTCTGTTGCTATCCCTTGTGAAGTAGGCAGAAAACGCTCCCAGCAAGAAGGATTTACCCTGCAGGAGAGTACTCTGAATCTTCCAAAAGCCATAATGAAAACGTGTTTCCATCCAAGAATCGTACTGGCAGCACATTGCAGGTAATTAAACACACTGCCCATTGGCCATACAAATTTCTTCTTTGTAAGAATTTCAGAGAATCAAACCCCTCTCTATAACCCAGACATTGTGCTGTGCAACAGGAAATTTTTGGGCTAACTTCTACCCTGCTGTAAGTGCACTACCACTTTATGCCAAGACTGTGCTTTGTTCAGTATCTCTCAGACGCTCTGTAGTTCAATTTCATTACCTCATAATTTCTAAGAATTGTCCTGTTTACTGGGAAAATACCAGCGAACTGGATTGCACACTCAGTTTCTCCATGTGACAAACAACAGAGAAACCACCTGTCTATTATCACAACCTAACCTTTTCTTCTATTTCTTATCTTTATATAACTAATATGGCCAAGTTCACACTGTTTATTTTAACTCACTTCCTGAAGAGGATGACTCCATCTGAATTTTTAACCAGATATTCACTCGCTGGCTCCAATCTCCTGGTACTTCCACCTCCCACAGTCGCTTCTGCTCCTCAGGATAAGTCTGCAAGAATTTCTGGCAAACTGAATAGGAGAAACCAAGGGGCAAAGCATGAATGAGTGAAAAGTACAGTGGAAGAGGCAGCGTTTTCTATCCTGGAAATTCCTTCAAACCTACTTTCATTAGTTCCTTTGGAAATCTTTTCTTCTTTCTTCTCATCTTCCTTTTCTTCTGAGCTGGGACTTTTAGGAAAAGTCTGTGTGGAATGGCCTAAACAGGCACGAGTGAATCCTGTCCATCTGCTTCAGTCTAGATTACTTCCTCATAAGCGCAGCAATATCGGACTTGCAGTGACTTCCTGAGCCCCTTTCTTTTGGCACTGCATCACAGAGCTACCTCCAGACACTCAGCAGGTTTTAGACTAACGGCAGCATGGGCTTTTTCACCCTCACTACTCTGAAATTAAAGCTTTAACCATTAAGAATGCTACTCTAATTTCTATTTATAAAAACCTTTGTATCAGTTTGTTCTTGGGCTCATACCACCCTCCATTTTACTACTGCTACCCTATACTCTGTTGCTGGGATTCATTTACTTCTTTGGGTGTGGAAAACAGGAACTAGGAAGAACCAGCAGAGGAGTAATAGAGTTACCTGTGTCAGATGTACAATTGCCTTTAAAAATCA